ATAAAGGGACAATCAATCACTGTTATGTGGTACAGGGATGGTCAGCCACCACTCGACAGAAAAGGCCTAAATACCTGCAGAATCATATATTGCGCCCTGGTAGATGTGCTGTGCTTCTGTGCCATCGATATTGGGAACGGGAATATTGCACTAATCTTCGCTGCATGGATGATAGACCTACTCCACAATTATAGACTAACTACGATGTGACAACTTAATTTAAACGGTCCTACGTGGTATTATTTATACAGACTAGTCTTATCATGACGGCCGGAAGTGTGCATGTTTAAAATTCTGACGGATTGCATTCAGCTTGGAAGAGAAAGGTATATTTAATATGAAAAGTAAGAAATTATTTAGAGTGATCACACCTGTATGACCAAGCCATGCAGTCTTAATCGAGTGTTCTTGCTTTCAACACTTTCAGCCTTCTCCAAGTGCCTAATGGCCAATATAAGACCTAACAGTTATTCTATGCCGTTAGGAACAAGTGACACTAGTTTTTAGTACATGCCTCTTATCTACAAGGGCCTACAAACTTCACCAATTACGTCTGGTTGGAAGGGATGCAGAGAACCGAAAGAAATATGAAGATATCCTAACTCGAATATAGTCAAAACTATAAATAGATGAGTCACATATATAAAAAATCAATAAGTTACTTGCTATTGTAGGAAGGGTCCGAGTATTCATATATGTTACCCACAGTTATGATGATATGGGATGAATAATTCCAAGGACTCACAGATATAGATTAAACTGTTCTTGTGCAGCTGACATGTAATATGCTGTATGATGTTAGTCAACAGTGTATAAAACAGGAGTGTCAATAAAGGGTTAGAAAACGGCAGCTAACGAACTGAGAACCAGGTTTGTACGCAAATATTGGCTAATCCCTCACTCTTACGAAGCATACAAGAAGGCAACGCACACAAATCAATGATAATGATGGATATACATCAGAGGATAAGGAGAAGTCATCCTCACAATCTGCTCAAAGTATTTTGAAAGATATATGCTTGAATATACATGACGCATCTCGCACCAGGGCTTTCGTGATCCTAGGGAAGAACAGCATCTGGACCACTGAGCTTATCTAGCCTGAGATGTTAAAGTAATCGTCAGATATTTCCTTTCCCAATATTCTGACAAAACTTTGTCTGTTAAAATATCACTGCTTGTCAACACCAAATGACTGGAGATGTCACAGATATTCAGAACTTAACATCACTTTTGTCAGTAACACCTTTCAGATCGAGAATACCAAAATCAATTCAAAACAGAAGTTAGAAATGAAGAGAGTCGATGTCATATTTCAAGGATGGTTGGGAAGCAAGCGAACTAAGCTTTCTACCTGATCCGTAGAACGGTAAAGACAAAAATGATCTAGTACAGTTACGTGACGCAGTGCTTTCACCTAGGGTGTGAGGTCGAAGCCCTAAAGAACTATTTATTTTGGGGATTTTTTCTACCGCTACATAGGCACTAAATACAAATACCACAGAATTCGTGACTGTTTGAAAGTAACTAATTCTGAAATCTATGATTAGGGTAAATGTATCCACAAACATTCAGAGAAGTGCTAAACGATTCATTGAAACACCAAAAGAGCACTAATTGAGACAGACGCATATTTTATTATGAACAGACGTGTCCAACAAAGTAGTTATGATTAATTTGAATGCCACTAGTATGAATCCTCCCAATATTTCATTGTAAGGTTGCCTGTTTACTATCTACTACCTATCTGTTAATATGAACAGTTGAAACATTGTAATTAACACTCTGAATAGATTAAATTCATTTATATATATATGGATTAGACAAATCGAATGTAGTCCTAGATTGATTTTGCTAAAATACAGTCGATGGATACTCTAGTGACAATCTTGTTTCTGTCCTAATACAGTTGCTGATGATTTTAAGAGCCCATTGTTGGGGATGTTAGATCCCTAGAACTCACTCACAAAATGTTCGAATTTCGAATTTTTTATGTTTTCGCACTTAAGTTGCGTAGTTGACCTCCAGCTTACATTTTCCACCCGGAAATCCTTAACTGTCATTGGTTGGTAGATTATTTTAGTAGGCTATTTCATGGCTCTACCAAGGGCGTTGCTATCATAGTATAAATAAGCTTGATTTGTGTGCTAAGCAACCTAGAATTTTCTGGGTGCTTGTAGAATACATCCTCTACTCCTTATCAAAACTTCTTGATCTAGATAACGGGGCCGGAAACAAACGGATCAGAACAGTCTATCATGCCACTGCATCGTCCCGTTTACCGGAAAGATGAACTCGTAATAGTTTCAAGCATATCACCCATATCATTCTGAATGCATTCTAATGACAAACAGGTCTGATGTTTAGATGAATGAATACCAATTAGTTGGAATTAGAAAGGTAGGCCTAGGACTGAGTAGGTTAGGGAATGCTGATCGGCGAGCTATACTCCATCAAGGCATATCAGGTGTACGGTAAATAAGATCTAATTCTTGAGTTATTCAATCATTTCAGTCTGGTACTGACCATTCGATTCTATGATACATTGATTGTTTATTACAATTATACACAGTAGTGAATTTAATTACTTAAATATACACATCCAGGAGTATCAGTGTTCTAGCTCTAGTTCATAGAATATGAAACCTCTTGAAGTACATTGGATAGTATGTATTACCAAGAAACATTATCTTGTGTGTGATAATGAGTTATATCAGTGTTGTCTTTTTGATGTTTGACAGTGCAAGTACTGCTTCAACTAAGTTCTGTGTATAATACTTTCTCATTTACAAACTACATCAAGATCATGCTTGCTAAATTTTCATTGTTGCAAGTTAGTGCTTCTTGTAGGATTTAAAATCTAATGTCTTGTAAATGATAAGTATTAAATGTTTACATGGAAACTACTCACAGTTCTGGATGATAGACATTGTCCATTTGCCACTCACTATCTATGCTATATACTCAAAGTCGTTGAAAGCCATGGATACACTATAAGCCTCTAGTAACTTCACGTTTATGGACAGAACACGATTGGTTTAATAGAGACATTCGTTACTATAACCAATTGTACTAGTGATTGTTTTATTGTACTCTTTGTTTATTCATATTCTGTACGCGCAAACTTTCTGTTTGTTTTGCCGCTGTTTTTGATTATATTGCTCGCTGCAACTTTGCCTCTCTTTTCTGGAATGATTTCGGTATCCTTTTGATACCACGAAATCGCCAGCAAATATATTTCCTTGTATGGATTAACTCTTCTTCCCGGTTCTTGATTCACAGAGATATTATACTTAGTGACGGGAATGTGATTGGTCTGTAATGGTGTTCACAGTCAACCACGACTCGAGACACTACAAGCCGATGAAAGCTTCGTGGTTGTAGTTGCATTCTATGTATACGAATTTACTCACATGTGGATACAATATTCTCTCATATTCATACATCATTTAGCTTGAAATGATGGAATTTTTCTCACTGACTATACAGTTGTGAATAACCTTACTGTGAAAAGAGTATCAGGTTCTAACGAAATTGCATATACACTTCGCCAACAAGTATCAACTAGTATATAACTTGGGTTCTCAGGTGTTCTCTAGCCAAACTATCTCCGACTATCTGTCATGAAACCACTTTTATAAAAAGAACGCGATTGGTTTAATAGAAACATGCATTATGATGACCAATTGTATCAGTGATTGTTTTACTGTAACTTTTGTTTAAAATACTCTTTATGCGCAAACATTCTGTTTGTATTGCTGCCATTTATTTGCTCTACCCCACTTTCCTGGCTCGAATTTGGTGTGTTTTTGTTCGACCATCGTTCTCGATCATCGCGGTCTCAGAACGATTGCTCACATTCAGTAGCAAAACCATGTTAATGAAGAAAAAGGTTCGGTAACGTGTGATTAGTTGATGCCATCATCTTGAAACATCGACTTTCGTGACCCGGACATGCACTACAACTGCAATACCAGCGAGTGGTGGTCGGGCTTACCTATCGTGATGACCCAACTGAGGTATATTGGCTGGAACATATGTTCCTGAAGGTTCTACCATGCCACGCAGGTCGATTGGAGAACGATCAGTCTAAAAGCAGATACTCAAGGTCTGAGGGTCAAGTCGTACTGCTGACTGCAGAGGGGTGTGACAGCAGTAAGGTGTTTCCCTCGGACAACCAGCATCTGCAGCCATGGTGCCTTCTCACAAGGAAGGAAAGGGGTTGGAAAATGTTGGCCCTAAAAATGTCACACCTCACCCTACCTCACAGATTTCAGTCTCCAGCGATAAGGGTGCCCACTAAGGGCTTTTAAACAAGAGCGAAGCTAATACTCAAAAAGCCCTTCATAAAAAGGCCGTGCGTGACCGGCCTCAAGCAGTTGTCTCTTGGGCTCTGTGGTCACCCTCTCAGGTCTCTAAGTCCAATACTACTCTACTTTCCTTTTCAGGTTCCTCAAGAAACAACCTCCCACGGTGTGGGCAGCCGATAAGCAACATCCGCCCTCATACCTGTAACAGTTCAACACCATTAACAAGAAAAACAACGTTCAATTATCAAGTATAAAAAAACCGGTTTAAGAAATACAAATAACAGAGAAAGGAACTCATAGAAAAAAATAACAATGCACTCAGTAGTGCAATACTTCTCCTTGTTAAACAAGTTTATACAGATTAGTGCCTTGTTTAAGTATTGCACCGGATTCATTCAATCGATCTAACAGTGTCATAATACAATTGGAATTAATTTGTAAATCATTTGCGATTGCATTAATTTCAGGCATTGTAAATAAACGACTATTGGCATGTTTTGATGCGATCTATGGTTTAGAATAGAAAAAGAAATTTAGAATACCATATTTATGAAAAGTTGTCATTTGATAGGGTTGATAAAATGCACAGGCTTCTGACCAATTTAAACAATAATCCAACCATGTTTTCAGTATGTGATTGGTCAAAATTCGAAATGCAAAATGTTGCTTTACGATTAGCTTGTATCGACACTTGAACTAATGATAGGGAGTAAAATAGTTGAACGTGTTGAACGCTTCAATTATCTTGGGAGTCTCATCAGTGCTGATGAAATCTCAGCATGGGTACAGAAGGCTCGATCGGTTTTTGCTTATGGTCACTTATGGTCTAAGAGAGATATTCGTCTACTAACCAACAAACGATTATACTACTCAGCAGTCCGCTCCATCATACTACATGAGTGTGAAACATGGCCAGTAAGAGTAGAGGTATTCGTAAATTACTACTCAGTCAGATGCAACGTAGAACTTCGTACGTAAGTACATCAGTTCATGTTGCCATACCACATCAGCACACAGATATAATTGTCAATTCAAATCCAATAGTAGTAGAGACAGTAAGGGTATCAGCAGTGAACGGAGAGATTACGATTAGAAGATATTATTCAAGAAGTATGATTCAGTGAGAAAAGTTTAGAAAGTCAAAACTAGAGGTGTTGAAGAAACCAGGAGATTAGGATTTGAGCGAACACAAAGAATAAATGCACCGGTGCCATTGCGAACGAATCTGAGCCATGTCATCCAGGGTCTCTAGCCATCGATTATTATCATCTCGCGGACCCCAACCAGGTAGTCGACAATCACCGACATGACTCAGTCCACTTGTCAATGACTTCATGGATTTCTGCAATGTTTTGGTTTGGCCGCCCCTAACTTTCATCCAACCTATTTCTGATCAGACTACCCAGATAAGTAAAGCGGTCTACACGTTCGACTACTTCACTCCCTATCACTAGTTTAGGTGCAGATGAAACCCAATCTTGAAGCAACATTTTCCATTTCGAGGGGGAAAACCGCATCCCGAACATGCTTGCATTGTTGCTTAGGGTAGTCAGAAGACTCTGCATTTTGTCAGAGTCTTCACCAAGTAGGACTATGTCATCGGCATATTCTAAGTCAATAAGCGAGCCACCTGGTAAAAGGTCTACTCCTGAAAATTCAGACGAGGATAAGTTTATTTCTAAGAGCATGTCTATGATGAAATTAAACAAGAATGGAGAAAGTGGACATCCGTGACGGACACCACTTGAAGTAAAGAATTCCGTTGACAGTTCGCCATAAGCTCTCACTCGACCAGTGATGTTCGAGTAGAGAGCTTGTATGAGGTAAATGTACTTTTCTGGTACACCTTTCAATGACAGACATTGCCACAGAACCTCACGATCCACTGAGTCAAATGCCACCTTAAGGTCCAGGAAAACAACTATTGCAGGACGTCTAAATATGTGTCTGTGTTCCAGGACCTGTCTGAGTGTGAAAATGTGGTCTACACAACCACGTCCAGCCTGGTTTTCTCGAATCTGCTCTTCACGAGCTTTCGTTAAGCGTCGAAGTATTACTGAGGCCAATATTTTAGATACTATATTAGTTAGACTGATTGCCCTGTGATTTTCACAAGAAAACTTTTGTCCTTTCTTATAGATTGGGATAATCAGTGATTGAGACCAGTCGGATGGGATTACGTCCAGTTCCCAGATTCTACCTTAGATCTCAGTCAACCTAGCTGCTAAAACTGGACCATAATCCTTAAATATTTCAGGGGTCAGTCTATCAGGACCTGCAGCTTGTCCTCGCTTCAGATTTCCTAACGCTTTCTCAACGTCAGTAAGACTAAGCGGACTTACGTCGATTTGCCATTCAGGATGACTGGGGAACGTGGGCAACCGAGGTGCTGTTGAAGGCAAGTTGAACTGATCCCTAAAGTGTTCTGCCCATCGGTCCAGTCTCCTGGATTGAGAATGGATAATAAGACCATCCTTTTCCGAAATAGTCTCACTCATACATGGGTTCCTAATACCAGTGTCCTTGATGAGTCTAAATAGTTGCCTACTGTTTCCTATCGCCGCTGCCTTTTCCATCGCTTCTGCTTTCTCCACCCACCACTGTTCGCGGTCATTTCGTACGCTTTCTATTAGCCTACGTCTAAGCTGACTCCGCTCCTCATCGCCCTCAGAACCAGGCGGGATGACTTTTTGAGCACCCATCAGTTCGGTAGATGCTAATGAGATCCACGGCTTCATCCTAGCTTTATGGTTTACCTTACTAGAAGATATCACTGCTGTTGCCACAGCCTTTTGGATATCATACCAACCTGGTCCAACCCTCCTCCTCTATCCGGACTTAAGACTGGAAGTAACCCTAAAAGGGTTCCAGGCGGAGTTATCACAGTAGTACAGATGTATATACACACACACCCTCTCCCTCTCTCCTTCTGTACATCCAGTCTCTCAGTTTCGTTAATAGTATATAATACTTTTAAACTCTAAAAAAAAACCGTCTTTCAAGCATAATCCACACAGTATGACAACAATAAGAATGGAGACAAAATTAATTCAAATTTAACAAAAAAATAGTCCATCATTATTTACCTCAAGTGCAGCTAATAGACGTTTAGCAGCTGCTGGTCCAGTTGATGACGAACTAATTCGTTTCGATGAAGATAATGTTGTATTCAAAAGATTATTCATTTCACTAAGGCTAACATTAGCTGGTGTACCAGTAATCAAACCACTGCCTAAGCCAGTTGATTGCATTAGTTCACAAACATCTAATGCATCCTGTATAGTGAAAATGAAAAAAAAAAGATTTATGAAGTACCTACCATCTTAGAAGTTTCATATTTGAATGAAAACAACTACTGTTCAGCATTTCCCGGTTTTCAATTAGTACTTCGAATGAGAAGTACATATGAAAATCAGGAAAATTTACACTTTTGAATATAAACTACTCATAAGTAGCATCGAAAGTTCAGTATAAGTTTGGCAGAATTGACAGGAATAAACAATGGTCAGAGAAAAAACTCGCAATTTTATTCCGTCAACTTCTAGTTCCGATTATCTTATGCCTATATGATTGTTGATTAATGTTCTTCATCTTAATGAATAATTGAAAATGATTACTGAGTATTCTGACCACCCTAAGCAACAATGCAAGCATGTTCGGGATGCGGTTTTCCCCCTCGAAATGCAAAATGTTGCTTCAAGACTGGGTTTCATCGGCACCTAAACTAGTGATAGGGAGTGAAGTAGTCGAACTTGCAGACCACTTCACTTATCTGGGAAGTCTCATCAGTGCCGATGGCCTGATGACAGACGAAATCTCAACTCGGATATAGAAGGCTCGATTGCCTTTCGCCAACCTGCGTCACTTATGACGTAGGCGAGATATCCGTTTGCTGACTAAAGGACGAGTATACTGCGCAGTAGTTCGCTCCGTCTTACTTTATGGCTGTGAAACATGGCCAGTTAGAGTAGAAGATATTCGTTGGTTACTGGTTTTCGATCATAGGTGTCTTCGAAGCATTGCTCGTATATCGTGGGACAACCGAGTGAGCAATTTTGTTATTAGGAAACGAGTGCTAGATAAGGATGTCTGGTCAATGGATAAGGTATTGAAACTTCATCAGTTGAGGTGGTTGGAACATATTTTGCGCATGCCTAATCACCGACTGCGTCGTCGAGCTATGTTTTGCGATGTAGGAATAGGTTGGGCGAAAGCTAGGGTCGGCCAAACCAAGACATTGCAGAAATCCATGAAGTCATTGACAAGTGGACTGAGTCATGTCGGTAGTTGTCGACTACCTGGTTGGGGTCCGCTAGATCATAATAATCGATGGTTAGATACCCTGAATGACATGGCTCAAAATCGTTTGCAATGGCGCAGGTTCATTTTTTGTTTGTGTTCTCTCAAATCCTAATCTTCTAGATTCTTCAACACCTCTAGTTTCGACTTTCTGAACTTTTCTCATTGAATCATATTTCTTGAATATTTTCTACTCCTAACCTCTCCGATTATTTCTAATACCTTTACTACCTGTTCTACTATTGGATTTGAATTGACAATGGCGTCTCAGTGCTGATGTGGTATGGCAACATGAACTGATGAACTTATGTACAAAGTTCTACGTTGCATCTGACTGACTGACTGAGTCGTTGGCTCTTTTAATATCTTGTCATTCCATTTTTTGAAAGATTTTAACTACATATTGATTTGCGCAATCTGTCCAACCGACAAAATATCTTTAGTCTAGACAGGAATATGCTACAGATTATCAGTTCATCAAAGTATTTACTTTTAAGCAGAGAAGACAGTTATACATTACAGGCAATGGATAAAGGTTACTCAAAATTATGAACTTGCTTACATACTTAGCCTGCTACTCCCAATAAGGCATAAACCGCCGACCAGTACGCCTCAAACCTACTCTGTCCTGGGCATCCTTTTCCAGTTCTATCCAACTGTTTTGCATTCTTCTTAAGTGTGTTTCCGTTTCTCGGCACAATGTGTTCCTTGGCCTTCCTATTTTCTATTGGCCTTGAGAGTTCCTTGCAAGGGCTTGTCATGTGACACAGCTAGGTGCTTTTCGTAATGTGTGCCCTCATACACCAACTCCAGCACTTCTCCGTGATTTCCTCCTCCATTGAAATCTGGTTTGTTCTCTCCCACCGTAGGATGCTGCTGATGGTGTCTGACCAATGGATCCTCAGTATTTTGCGTAGACAATTTTTAATGATTACTTGTATCTTCTGGATGATGGCGTTCGTGGTTCTCCAAGTTTCCGTCCCATACAGTAGAACTGTTTTGACATATGTATTGAAAATCCTGATTTTGGTGTTGATTGATATTTGTTTGCAGTTCCAGATACTTTTCAATTGTAGAAATGCAGCCCTTGTTTTGCCGATCCACACCTTCACATCTGTATTAGATCCACCTTGCTCATCAATGACGCTGCATAGATTTGTAAACCTTTTTACATCCTGTAAGGCATCTCCATCAAGAGTGATTTGGTTGGTGCATATTGTGTTGGATCGGAGCGTCTTGCTTTTCCCTTTATATATGTTTAAAATTGATGCTGCTACTACACTAGTCGTCTTCTCCTGCATTTGTTGTTACATGTGTGATAGAAGAGCCAGATCATCTACGAAGTATAGATCGTCCAACTGCATCCTAGCTGTCCACTTTATCCCCTGCTTCCCCCCAACTATTGACGTCTTCATAATCCAGTCAATCACCAGGAGAAAGTAGAAGAGTGAGAGTAAGCAACTTTGACTGACACCGGTGTCTTTACCTGCTTGAGGTTAAACATTAACACTATTAGATACCCAGTCAACGTTCGAGTGCGAAAGTGAAAGTTCAGAGTTCGCGGATGTGAACTGCCGAGACATTACATAATAGAAAGAGACGGCTATCCAGTGTATCTAGGTTTATACTGGTGATTTAGCTTACTTCAGTCCCTTTTAATTGAATAAATATCAGAGCATCTCTCACATTCAAAGCACAGAGATTCCCAACAAAGACTAGATGTAATGTAGTCATGATTTCTCTATAATCTTCCCTCCGCCGAAGAGATATCATTCATGTAACCAGTTAATTAAAAAAAAATAATAAAATTACCTGTTTTGTTGCTTCTTCACGTAATTCAGCTCTAGCTCTTGCTTGAGTTAAACGTATTAATGATTCTAATTGTCGTAAAGTTACAGGAAATGTATCACGACTATGACGATGTTTACGTAGTTCCAAATAAAAATCACGTAAAGTTAAAGCTGCTTCATTGGACAGACTAAAGAGGAAATAAAAACAATCAATCGATTTTTTTGGATTCAACGAAGAATTAAAAGTTGTCATTTCCAGTAAAATTATGTTGTTGGATGTTGATTATTTAGTGTTAAAATTCTTGCTGGCGCAGATGTGCATTCCTGTGAGGATTGTCTTTTTACAAAATCGATGAATTGTCATTATTAATAGAGTCTGGGTGTTACGCCTGCACGTAAACACGTCAACTTGATAAACTTGAACTATTACGAGTGTTTACCTTAGTCGGAAAACGAGAGCTAGGATCCGGTGACACGACATGTTACTCAAATCCGATTATCCCAACCCCCATATTTAGTTAAAATAAGACAAGATAGCGTCCATCACAAAGTGGTATATTCCAAGACATAATTAAAAGCCAGTAAGTGTTAAACAGTCTGAAACTCCTTATTTATTTGACTGATAGAGGTACCAAGGCCAATGGTATTAAGGTATCATGGTTACTGAAAGACCTGTAGGTACTCAGCTATGTTAAGAAAACCTAGAATCACTGGATTCGGACCTCGTACTTTCTGGATGCTTGTAGAATACAGGTTCTACTTCATATCAAGTCTTGTCTTATTTTAACTAAATATGGGGGTTGGGGTAATCGGATTTCAGTAGCATGTCGTGTCACCGGATTCTCGCTCTCGTTTTCCGACTAGGTAAACTCGTAATAGTTCAAGTATATCAAGTTGACGTGTTTACGTGCAGGCATAACATAAATGACTCACAGACTGATTCCAGTTAAACGACCATTAAAAGTCATAGACCATTGGATAAAGAACTCTTCAATAGCACATATCGATAACATTACCAGGGTCTGTGTTGGGGATGTTAGATCCCCGAAATTCACTTGATAATGCCGTATTTTGGTTTTCACGTTTTGCCAGCATGGGCTGGTCAGATGACCTTGAGATTTCAATTCCCACCAGGAAAATCCATGGCTGTGATTGGCTGCTGTGTATTTTAGTATGCTATTTTCTTAACTGTCTCAAGGACGTTCTTATGTTGTATAAATAAACGAGAGTTGTATGCTTGATTGTACTGTGATTGCTGGGTGTTTGTAGAATATACTTCTACGCTTACAAAGCCTTTTTTTCGCTTTGAGTATTCAAGGTTGCCTCCTTGGAAGCTGGTAAAAGTCTCGTTCGCGTTTATCGACTAAGGTAAACTCGTAATAGCCTCAAGCATACTAAGTGACGAACTTATCAGTGGCGACGGTGCTTTTGGAAATATGGATCCTGCCAAACTTGAATTATTACTTGAGCAGCAGCTGAAACTGATGCAGATGTTGACAGACATGAAGATTTCCCCTTCCACACAGCCCAGCTCATCTAATGCAACCACAGCTCCATCGGTCGACGGCATCGCAAATAGCATAGCTGAATTTCATTATGATCCTGATGCAAATGTCACTTTTGCCATGTGGTTCCGGCGTTATGAAGATTTATTTAAATTTGATTTCTCCAACCGAGATGATGCTTGGAAGGTTCGGCTGCTACTTCGAAAGTTGGGCGCAAGTGAGCTGGATAAGTACTGTAATTTGATCCTGCCTTTGAACCCACGAGATTATTCATTTTCTGAGACTGTTCAGACATTGAGCCAACATTTTGGCGATAACTCGTCACTGTTTAATACTCGATATCGATGTTTGAAGCTAATTATGAACGAAGATGATGACTTTCTTACGCATGTGGGCATCGTCAACCGTGAATGCGAACGCTTTCGGTTGAAGTCTTTGTCGGAAGATCAGTTCAAAGCCCTTATACTCATCTGCAGCCTCCAGTCGAGTAAGTTCAGTGATATTAGAACAAGGCTACTAAGTCGTTTGGACCAAGATTCGAAGCTTACGCTTAATGAAATGGCTCATGAGTACCAACGTCTCACTAACCTACAACGAGACTCGACTATAGTTCAGAGTGGTAGTTCAAGCCGATCTGAAATTCATTTGGTACAGCAGCCACCTTATCATAATAAGTCTGCCCATGCTACACCCAGTTCATCCCGCTCCAATTCTGCCCAAAAACCCAAAATGAATCCCCCTTCTGCTTGCTGGCACTGCGGCTCATGGCACTATGTACGGAACTGCCCATTTAGGCAGCATAGATGCAGGAAGTGTAAAGTCATCGGTCATAAAGATGGCTTTTGCCTACAGAAAAAGCCAAAGCGATCCAGAAGTGCTACGAAGCCTGTTCCTAGATCCAGTACCAATGTATTGAGCCTAATATCTCCCTGCCAGAGCTCATCACCAGGTGAGAGGAAATTTATTACTCTTAATATTAACGGGCATTTGTGTAGATTGCAAATAGATACTGCATCTGATGTCACTATCCTCTCACGCAAAAATTGGACCAAATTGGGTAGCCCAAGCCTGTAGCACACATTACAAAAGCCTCGTACAGCATGTGGCAATTACCTTCGTCTGTTAGGACAATTGGAATGTAAGGTTGCTTTCCGAGATTCGTCGTTTGCTGGGGTATGCTATATAACGCCAGCTGATCTAAATTTACTTGGTTTAGATTGGTTCGACCAGCTAAAATTGGCTGATGTCCCGTTAAATACCATATGCAACCTGGTATCACAACCACATGACCCCGAAGCATATACGAAGAGGCTGATGACAGAGTTTTCAACCATTTTTGAACCTGGATTGGGTCGGTGCACTACTATGAAAGCAACACTTCGGTTGAAACATGGGGCTAAGCCTGCTTTTCGTCCAAAGAGACCGGTACCGTATACTACATTAGCAACAGTAGATGAAGAGCTGGATCGCCTTCAACGACAAGGAGTTATTACTCCCGTTTCTTACTCCAGTTGGGCAGCACCTATAGTCGTTATCAAGAAGGCCAACGGCACGATACGTATATGTGCTGACTTCTCTACAGGTCTCAACGCAGCTCTAGAACAGCATCATTATCCTCTGCCAGTCCCAGCAGATCTGTTCACTATGCTGAATGGGGGAAAGTTCTTCGCAAAGCTTGACCTAGCTGATGCTTATTTGCAAGTGGAAGTCGATGAAGCATCTAAAGAGCTGCTTACTATCAACACTCATCGCGGTTTGTTTCAGTATAACCGTCTACCTTTTGAAGTTAAGACTGCCCCATCTATCTTCCAACAACTAATGGATACTATCCTATCAGATATCTCAGGGGTTGCAGCTTATCTCGATGATATCTTGATTATTGCGAAGACGTTAGAACAGCTACGGGAACGCACGACATTGGTACTACAACGCATCAGTGACAATGGTTTCCGGTTATGCCCAGAAAAATGCCAGTTTCTATTGCAGTCGGTAAAGTATTTGGGATTCATCTTTGATGCCGACAGTCGCAGACCGGATCCTGATACCATCCGAGCTATCAAACAGATGCCCACTCCCACTAATGTTTCCGAATTACGATCTTTTCTCGGTTTAATCAGTTATTATTCAACTTTTGTTCCCTCGATGCATGATATTCGCGCTCCATTGAATTGTCTACTGCAGAAGCATAGCACATGGAACTGGACTAAAGAGTGCGACGCGGCTTTTGGTAAACTCAAGTCTATAATTAGCTCGGAATTGTTATTAACACACTACGACCCATCCATGCCGATCATCGTAGCAGCAGACGCTTCAGCATATGGCCTAGGTGCTGTTATTTCACATCAATTTCCAGACGCGTCAGAAAAAGCAGTTATGCATGCATTCCCTACACTGACCCCAGCAGAAAAGAAGTATAGCCAGATAGAGAAAGAAGCTCTTGCCCTTGTGTTTGCTGTTCGCCGTTTCCATAAGTTTCTGTACGGCCAGAGATTCACGCTCCTCACAGATCACAAGCCTCTGTTAGCAATATTTGGTTCAAAGTCTGGCATTCCAGCCCATTCTGCAAATCGTCTTCAGCGATGGGCCTTGGTACTTTTGGGGTATGATTTCGAAATCCAATATCGACGCACTCTACAATTCGGTC